CCGCTCCGGGCACCTGGGGTCCCCGCGGGCAGCGCCGCCGGGGAGGCGCTGACAGCGCGGACACATCCCCCGGCACAAGTTCCGGGGAAGTTCTGGTGACTTTAAATAACGTACAAGTTGGCAGCAGCATCTGGCACAAGTCAGCGGCCTTGCGAGTGTTTTTGCCCACATGAGAGCTGCTTGCTGGGGATACTCGCTGATGAAATTAAAAATGGCTTTGGGATTTCAGCGACAGCCTATTTAAAGGAAATAGCAGATACTTTACTAATTAGCAGTATAACGTATTTAATTCCTACACAGCACAGCTGATGGCTTCATTTGTCACTTGTCTTCTTCCCATGTTTTTCGTGACTGTCACAATGCAAATAAACCAATTACATTTTCACAAAATTGCCTTCAAAAAGCCAGACTATACAACATATAAATCAGAACATAGAGGATAGTTGACTGCTCCCTTAGCTTCTGTAGAGGACCTCTTGTTTTAGTCTGGAGAAGGCAGCTAAAACAGGATCAGAGTCTGTAAAATGGTTGCATTCTCTCCTGGATGAAAAAGGCTGTACGTTACTGTGGGTGTTTGCCATATGTTAAGAAGGAAAATATCTCATGAAGTTAAACGAGCATTACTTTTACATTTAGAGGCGATAGCCCAGTTCCAGTTTTTTCTTACTCTAAAACTGAGGGATGGAAACATGACATTTAGAATGCAGAATATCCAGAATATCCACCAAAAATAGAAGCTATGCAAAATGCAAAATAACATAACGCAAATGAAATAAAATACTATACCAGTGAGGAACAGCAACTGCATAACCCACAGGCCAGATGCAGCCTGCAGAACAGCTCTGTCTGGGCCACAGGTTTCCAGGCTGGCTTGAACGCGGTCTTGTGAATGCACCGGTGCACGGGGCTTCGGGGAACCAGCTGAAGTGCCTCTGTGAAATGTTCCCCAACACTCCTGGATCTGCAGAGACCTTGGGACTTTATGCACTTTGGACATAGACTGGCCATGGGGTTACAGAGTTTTTCTTTTGTTCTGTCTCACCTGTGTGCTAATACCCTTGAGACTGAGGAAAGCACGCATCAGATGAACGGCGTGGCATTCTGCCCGGCTTTTCGCTGTAAGTAATGTCTGCCTATAATGCAGTTTTTACCTACAGTGTTTCTGAAAACGAATTACCACTCAGCGTTTCCAAGTAAAAATCAACGCTTAAACATTCTTTCCCTCTTCTCTAGAGATGGTTTCCTCTATACAGAGAAATCAGTTTATAGCGATTTTATTTTTTAAGTTTACTTTTCCTTAGGTACAGTACAACAGAGGTGATTTAATGGATTGCGTAGCTTTTCACTCGCTAAGTCTGAATGGCTTTGGCCATGTGGCTTAGGTGCAGCCTGCAGGAGGAGCCCAGCACCCTTCTCTGAACAAGCAGGGAAACGTGCCCGCGGCGCAGAGGCCGAAGGAAGGGCAGGCGTTTTGCAGCCTGTTAGTGTTGGTTAGGCAACTCACGGTTAAGTCTTTTCTGGGTTGTTTTCTTTGTGGACTATATTTCACCTTTACTTAAAGGTACATTTTAATTTAAAGTAGTGCTAACTGCAGAAGTCGGTGGAGTTAGGGCAGTGGGAATCATCATTTTTCTGACTTTACATAACTCTCAGCTCTAACCGGGCCAGCAGAAGCCAGGTTATGCCACTTCACAGATGGCTCACTGCCCTTTTCTCTCAATACTGTTGAAACTACTGCCTCCATCTTCCACTGAACAACTTTTGCTCCCTCTTATTTCTACTTCCACTTTAGCTGCAGTTCATCAACTTGTATGAAAAATTATGAACTGCCTTCTGAACATGGGAGTCGGAGGAGATTTGAGCAGCAGTCTCTCAGGAATTGCAATAATCAAAGGTGTACGTATTCTCCCCACTCGCTAAACCCAATGCACATTGCTTAAAATCCAGTAACCCATGTGAGCTGAAAAAAGCGACTTCTCCAGGATTTTTTTCTTCTCTCTATCTTAAACACATTAGGATGGCCATACCAGGTCTGTCTTCGCTAGTTCAGACCTGTTGTCATGTGGATTTCCGTTGCCCGAGCTAGTCTGTTCTAGTCAGATTCCTGCATTGTAATGGCCCTATATGCTCCATCTTTTTTTCCTTAAAACTTGCAGTTTTCAAAAAGACTAGAAACTCCACATACTGCTGTGGGAAAGGCATATGGGATATTTGGGACAGATAGATGGTAATTTTTCCAGATCCTTTGTTTGCTTCATTGCCTGTGTCCATCTTTTGATTTTGTATACTTTTCCTTTCTGCCCTCATTTGATTATGGTCTACCTGGGCTTCAAACCTTTGTGAATGCTGCTGTCTCATTTTGTCACGGCTGTGTCCACAGCCATGTGCATGGAGTACCATAGAAATGGTATGGATGGACAGAAAGAGAAGTCTTGTATGGAAAGGAAATGCCCATTTCACAAACGCAGGCAGCAGCATCTGTAGGCAGAAGAACAGAGACATTGTGCAGGATGATCTTAGATTGACATGATAGTGCTGTTCTGCTTCATCGCACACCTAACTGCAAACTCCTGCTTTTTAGGCCTAATGACTAGAAGCAAGAATTCTTCAGTTGGAAACAGCAGAGATAAAAGGTGCTGAGCTGATTGCAGAGTCACTTTGAGAAATTAGGAGATGCACCTCCAAAAGTGGCAGAACTGGCTGCTCCTGCGTGGCATCTCAGGGAATAGTGCCGGGGGGGGTGAGAGCTGTGATCCTAGCTGTTTCATGGAGACTTTCTTTGGGATACAGCGTGTATCACGGTGAAGGACAGGTTACAAGGAGGTGGCCGTTGGTCTCCGCGGCCGTCCTGGCTGCGCTCGGGGCCCGCTCTGCCACGTGGCGATGAGTCGCCCCGGGCGAGGAGCCCCCGGAGCAGCGGTTCCCACCGCCCGGAGACGCTGCTGCTGATAGGAGTAAGAGGCCTCAACTGGGGGGGCTGGGATGTGCACATTTCTCTCAGTGAGAAGTTAAATTTCTGCCCTTTCATGCTGTATTTTATCTTCATTTCTGATCACCATAAAAAAAAGGAAATTTTGCATTTTGTCTTAAAAAAAAGAAATCAACAAGCTTTCAGTTTTTACTAAAAAAAAAAAGAAAAAAATCATTTCATTGTGGAGGAAGTATTTGTTCATCTTCTATAATATAAGATTTTGTGCTAGGATTAAAAGATTTTTATATATCTTTCTTCTCTGTCCACTGTTTAATTGGCTTTTTCAGGGTCACAAGCCATTTTGTGTATGGAAAGACGGAAGTACTGCCTGTTCTCCAAACCTAGAGTCTCTCCTGCCATTCCAGGAAGTCTCAGGCAAGCTGTGTATTTTGGAAACAACAGCAGATTTCCAGGAATATTCTAGTAAGTAAAGACTTTCTTACCAAAACAGAGCGTGATGGCGCAGCAGCAGCCTTCGTGGCA